GCAGCCTGCTGGGCGCAGGGCCTCCCGGGGTGGGAGGAAGCCCCGGGCTGGGCGCCCGCCCCCCCCCCCCAGCATCACTCAGCCGCACGTGTCCCGCCGGGCCTCCGACCTGCTCTCTCTCCTGAGGATCTGGGCAGGCCACCCCAGGGTGTCACCCCTCGGGACCGTCCGCGCGGCCGGAGCACAGATCACGTCGGGAACAGGAGCAACAGAGGAGACGGGGGTGGGTGGATTCGGATGCTGGTCCTCCGAGGAAAACTTGAGGGGAGGCTGGGCGTGCTTTGAAGATAGCAGAGAAGTCGCCCTCAGTGGCTCACAAGGCCGTTCCTGGGAGTGAGCGCGGATGGGGAGCGGGGGACAACAGCCCTCCCTGCCTCCTGGGCCCAGCGCACAGGCAGGCGCCAGGAGGCCCCCCTACTTGTCCTTCACCACCTGCTCATACGGGGGCGGGGGCGTGTTGCAGTAAGAGGGGGGCGGCGGGTAGGCCGAGCTTCCCTGGGGCGAGCTGGGCTGGACCTGGAACGCCATCGCTGCGGGGTTCCCCGCAGGATTCACGCCTGGTCCTCCGGGGTCGGTGTAATAGGGCAGCCCCAGCTGCTGGGCTCCTGAAAGACAGGCAAGCAGACAGACGTGAGCGCAGCGGCAAAGTCCCAACCCATCACCGCCCGTCACCGCCAGCGGGCGGCCGGGGGGACCACCGCCCCGGGTGCGCCCTTGGCTGACGTGTGTCCGGGGCCGAGGCCCCCAGCCACGGTGGGCACCTGGGCGCAGGTCGCGGGCGAAGGGGTGCAGACTGCTGGGCAGCACGACGGTGCCTGGTGACGGGGCTTCACCAGGATCAGGGGTGGCGGGGGTCAGCCCGCAGCCGAGGGACACACCAGGGCATCTTGGCCGAGACCTGGGGAGGCGCACCAGCAGAGGGCTGCGCAGAACTTGCAGCCAAGAAACCCGGGGCACGGGAAGGTCAGCCAGTTAAGAAGACCCTGGGTTTCTGCCTCTCAGCCGCAATCATCCCCGGAACCTCCACGAGCCTTCTGAGAACAGTGTGCTGAAGCAGGATCTCCATCCCCACCTGCTGGTATGGCAGGTGCTCAGGGCAGATTACCTGTCCTCCAGGTGAGCCCCGTTCCCAGGCAGGGAGACAGCCTACGGGGCCCGATGCCAGCGGGCCGGACGGGTTGACGCGCCCGGGGACTGCCTGCCTGCCCTGGACGCTGCAGAAGGAAGATGCTCTTGTCCTGGGGAGAGGCTGCAGGATGCGGGCCAACCCTTGTCGCAGGCCAGCCGGTGACGAGAGGAAACAGTGTGGTCACCCTGCCCCAAATCTAGCCCCAACTATGTGTGTGTGTGTGTGTGACATGTGTGTCTGCGGGCCTATGGCCGCCACGGCCAGGAGCTTCTCAA